CTGTTTTATGGGATTTTGTTTTTCCTCCAAACCTTCTCTGGATAGTCTGTAGGGGGGAACAAAATATTCATGTAATGGTTCTTAAATGTTCAGTTCTTACTTCAAAGCTCATCTGCTCTCCAGAAATAAACCCTTTGAGGAAAAGAGAGCCAACAATCAGTGAAAAACATGTGTCTTTGTGTTGTAAATGTGAAACTCGGAACCCCACACTAGCCTAGAAGCATGGCTTTTATCATAATATAGGGAAATTAAATATGGAAATGGGATATTTTGGGAGGAGAAGAAATGGAGCATGAGTTGGTTGTTAATCATTATTAGCATGGCGGGGTGTGGATGGAGTCATTACTTTCAGAGCTCGATAATCTGTCAAAGAATTTTATTTATTTATTTATTTATTTGTCGGTTTGCTGTGTGGTTTTGACCAACTGTGTCAGACTGTTTTGAATTTCTCCATTTGTATTATCTTATTATTTCTGCTTTGTAAAGTTTTTCTAAAGCAGAACTGTTCGCTTGAGTGGGACCCTCTGATAAGCTGCAGTCTTTAAGTATCGAGTATTCAGGAATAACCTCACAACTAATAGAGCCTTTGAGGCAAATGCCTTTCTGTTGTAAATATGAGTTTATCTCCACAGCCGAACAGCTGCTTTCTGCCCTTCAAACAGTCTTTCTTTCTGTCTGAGTGTCATTAATTCAGGAGTAAGTCTGACTTCTGAACTTATGTGACATTTGGCTCATGAAATATTTCTTCCATAGCAAAGTTGAGTCTTTTGTCAAAGTTAGGAAACTTTGTAGGATTCCCAAAACGTGTTCAGGCTGAAAAAGAGAAGCAGACCCTCCTCTGCAAATCTCCTTTAGCGGATTCCTCCCCACCAGGGGCTGGGATGGAGGGATTGGCTGGCTGGTTTGGGGCAATGGGGGCAATTGTTGGAGGGAATCAATGTCATTGACACAGTGGGTTGGCATGATTACGAAGACCCACTGTGCCACTGGAAGGACTTTTATTAAGGATGGTGACGTGGAAGTGGGGGATCAGTCCAGATTTGTTAACCTTAAGTCAGAAAAAGTTTTTTTTATTTGTTTTAGTTTATGCTGAAAGAGCTACACATGGTCTAAAATATGAACACTTTAAGAAAACAAAGACATTTTTGAGAATTTTCAATTAAAAACATTTCATGTTTTATTGAAATGTTTAATAAATGTGTTACACAACCTGAAAAATTCAAAACATGACTCTGAAGCCTTCTTTCACAAATGGCAGGTAATTTAACCCTCGTGTGACCCTCGTGAAAAAAGGGACCCAAACGGGACCCTTTTTTCACGAGGGTCACACGAGGGGTAAAGGGGTATCTCACTAATTTACTGCTGCTAGGCAACGTGCCTTCTGTGTTATTACCAAACATGGCTCAAGCACCAAAACACAAACACAACTAAGCAGCATCTTTGGTTTTAGTTTGGCTTGGTTGGCTTGTAAATGGTTTAAAGTAAGCTTAATATTAAGCGATAAAGGTCTTTAAGCCAAAGCTGAGATAACCTTTACCACCAAGGGTTGTTGTTGTTTTAGGTTTTTTCTGACTGAAGTCCACTCCTCCAGATTCACAGAAAACGTTATTGATGCTTTTCTTAAGCAAACTGATCTTGTGTGTGTAATCAGTAGGGTTACACCAGACAGCAGCAAGATGTGACCTAATCGTGTGCTTTCAAACATGTTACCTTATGAGATTTATTTATAATGTATCAGTACATTTGTTTATTTTAATTGAGTTTACTTCAGATTATTATGAATAGACGGTCAGTTATAAGGAGCTCACAAAAGAGAAAAATTGATAATTAAATAAAGTTTCTAATTTTAAATTCTTTTCTTTTTTCATCTTAATACTTAGTGTTTACTTATTGCATCCCATCTGCTTACTATCCTGTAAGCTCCCAGTGCTGCCCACCTGCTAGGATGGGCAAAGCAAAGGCTTTCTTTGCCCCACTTTACTATTTCTGAACACTAAGATCCATTATTTTAGGGAATACTTCCAGATGACGGTGGATTTGGTGTATTAGAGGGGATATGAACTACTCTGTGGAGTAAGAAATATAAAGCAGAGAAAAGTTGACGATTGTATCGTCTAAAATGTTTGATTATACAAAAACATCAAGCAAAAATTTGAAAATTCACATTTAACCATTAGCTCATAGCTCAAGCGTAGCTCATTGCCTAGACTGTCCCGTACTTATAAAACGTGAAGTTAGTGCTTATTTAGTTTGTGTCAAAAATGTTACTTT